CGACGCAACAGGCCTGGGATTTAAAATTTCCAGCCAAGTAACCAAACGCATCTGAAAAAGTACAAGACCCATCTTCCCACCTACTGTTTTCCAAACAGAAGTGAACTAAAGCAATACTCGACTTCTCAGAATAGAACCAACCCCCCCCCGTTTCAAGGACTGCTCTGTCCATCAGGTTAATTCAAAGGACACCGTAAAAATACAGCATAATGAAATGCTTAGTTTTGTACGTGCTCGGATGCCTCAAACTGGGAGGATAAGCGGCTTAGAAAGTCCCGATCATGATATATAGGATGTAAGTGTAAGCACTGTAAGTTTCGTTTGACTCGTTAGTCGGTGGGGGGTCACTTCAACTAAGTATTGCCGAACCGTGAATTGCGCGCACAAATGATGGGCGAGAAGCATCAGTGGGGCGCAATGCTAAGGAAGGAATCGTGGGCGTGCCTAGGGTGAACATCAAGCTATGACCAGAGCCTGGGTATGTGCTCTAGATGGACCGACCGTTTAGCACCGATGTGCACTATCCATCGCTGTGCTAATATGGTCAACCTATGCCTAGAGAACCGTTTTGTTTGTTAAGATCCAGAGAAGTCAATGATAACTTTCGCACCAAGATACCAAGTTGACGCGAAGGCTGAATGATGACCAGAGTTGGAGAAGCCGATTATCATTATTTAGTAGAGAAGATTTCAGCAGTACACCAAAGCGAAATGCCGACGCTTCGTTACCACGAAAGGACCATCAGTTCTGCGAGAGTTAGGGATAATGTGAGCTTGTCTACGCCTAGGCAGATACGAACTGGCGATCTTTGTTTTGCAAGGCAGACGCTTCACACCTTTGGCCACTGGCTGACGATTATCATTATCGTCACGACAAGCATCGATCCGAAAAGACCTAAAGGCGTCATACTGCTGTGAAAAGCGATCTACTTATCCAGTTACGTTACTGGAAACTACCACTATATTTCTTTTCCAGCCAAAAATATGATGGATGAAAGTCGTCGATGGAATTAGACTTTGACGGCGTTGAGGTTGCAGTCAGTAGAAATGTGTAACGAAAACAAAAAGCAACTCATGTGTAGGTTGTATCCTTCAACTCTGGCGATGTTCAAAATAGAGTTGTGCACCTGCGGCTTATAGGTGGAGTTCATTCAAGTGGAACATTCCCAGCGATCTTGCAGTAGGTAACGAGATAGTAAGTACCTCGAACAATTAGCTGTCCCAGATGTGGCCTACTTCAGTAGAAGCTGAATCTGGTACTGGGTGATTCGTTGTGGATGTACTAGTTGGTACTCGTGTTCTGGAAACATACACCTAAAGAGCGAAATGTAAGTGTGCGTTACCCGCTAACCGATTCGGCTGCGTGAACCCCGGATGAGTCAATGTAAACCGCGAGTCTTGGCCGGAACGGTGACAATCAATCGCAGTTGCTTGATTTTTAACCTGAAAAGGAACCAGAAAAATAGAATGAATAGAAAAAGGCCACCGGTAACAGAGCGCTGTGAGTAGATTGGACTCAATGTTTGCCCACTCTGAGTGGAACTTTGTTCGTGATTTCCATCCTCAGCCTCTGACTCACCAGGCCGGTGTACGACGCAATTGGATACATGGAATCATATTAGGGGATACTCTCCGCGTATTTGACTCAAAAATTCGGTCCGAAAGTAGTAAGGGAGCAAGTCCGGCTCGGAGGTCCTACTTGAGTTCTGCAGAGACATGCTCGGAGCTGGTCTCATGCATCCCTAACAAAGATGTCGTAACTAACACAAGTTTACCGAGTGGACCGGGCTAAACACGGAGCTGGTCTCATGCATCCCTAACAAATATGTGGTAACTAACACAAGTTTACCGAGTGGACCAGGTTAAACACCAACTGCCGCGGTCAACCGCAGATTTTTGGAGGAATTCGGGCGCAAATAGTTAGGGATCGTTTGACTTAAAAAAGGTAACAAATCAGTAGGAGGCAACTCTACTCACTCACAGGTAGAGAGAACTAGCGGGGCGCATGCTGTATACCAACCAAGCTGGTCTGAAAACCCACACATCGCTTTTCAAATGACTGTGGGGAGCCACTAACCTCATGTTAACCTATTGTGAGGGCATAAGGACCGAGTGTAGCAGACCGTTAACCAGTGGTCTGTACGACTGCGCCGAAGAAATTTGGAGAGCGTCGTGCAGCGCGGCTCATTTGATGACGGGCCTAAAAACCACCGCAATACGTCAAGAATCAACCCGCAGACGATGGATCACTTCCGTAACATCCCCAACGTGTATGCGTCAATGGAATTGATTGGACACCATGAGAAATAGGAACCAGACAGCAACAACAACAACAGCAGTATAACAGTCATTTGAACAGATGTTTCGCTCCCATAAAACCATGATGACCTATGGGAAGAAGAATACTAAGAGAGAAGGGGGACCTACCTGAAAACCTTAATGCTATAAACAAACATACAGGGTCAAGGCGCCTACACCTTGTGTTAACAACATACCGTCACAAACAGCTGGCTATCGTGCAAAGATAAGGCGGCATCGGTGAGACAGCTTCCTTGCGGTTTTTATTGCCCTGCGTCATAACCATTACCCCGCAGACAAGTCAGCAATTTAAACAGGCAGTCCGAGTGCGAGACGGCAGTAGACGCGCCACTGGTACCGACTGCGAGCCATGTCTTGTCAAGTATCAAGCTAAACACAAAGCTTGTAATGTGGACTCCAGCCCGGGAAGCGAGACGGACCAACGGCACCCAGTTTGGCCGTTATTGATTTCATTTCCCGCTGCCAAGTCGACTGTACACCACGAGCCTTGCACCAGACTACACTTGGAAGACTAAACAACGCCCGCCTGGGTAAGCGGTGACCAGGCATACGTAGTACGTGCTCAAGCCAACGCAACTTATTCAGGGGCTAAGTCTAAGTTCAAGTGGGACTGGAACGACAGGACTGACCTGTGAGTGTTGCTCTTCAGTGGATCGTTGAACCAGGAGTTGGTAGACTTTGAAGTACAAATGGACCTAAAACAAAGACCGCATCACATTCTGTCCAAGCATTTAATGCTCACGTACCCTACCCTAGCAGTCCCTGCTGGGCCGGTTACGTGAAGTAAGAGAGAAAAGTAAACTCAGAAGGCAGGAACGGAAAGAGTAAAGAAAGTAGAATGCCAAGATAGTTGGTCATTAAAATAGGAACTGAAAACGGAATGTGTCATTTTGAAAAATAGGCTTGGTTTTGCCACTCAAGAGCATCGAGCTGACACACAAAACCCTTAACTGTACGTTCCCTAACCACGTGATCTGGAAGCGAATTTAAGCGATCCATAGCGGTGCGACAGAAGAGTTTCCGTCCTAATCCTATCAGACCGTGGTTTTTGCAGTTTAGTGGGTGACAGCGTAGAGTAGGTAAGCTAGCGGGACTAAATAGCCCTGACAAGTCCGGGCCGATCTTACCCGACAAAATACGATAAGTGAGAATCAGGTCCTCTCTTATCCTTCGGTAGTACATGGAGTACATCCCCAAACTAAGTAAACGTTCAGGATACGTCTGTCCCCGTAGACCCTGTACTAAACGAGTACCCACACGTAGCATCTCCAAATCCATTTTCTTACAGATAAGACATGGTGGACAAGCTTGAATACAATATTCCGGGTGGATTCAGACGAATGCCGAGAATAACTTGATAAACAAATTGGTCGTTAGAATTCCGAACGAACGACGGATAAAGCACATCATACGAAACCCCAACAAGCAACCTTCTGATTGTCACCAGAATGAATTGCTGATAACAACAGGGATTTCAACACCGCCGACAACATATCGAGCGAGAGAACTAGCAGCTCCGGCTCGAAGAAGAGCACTTGGCCCTATGTATGAGCATCAACCGTAAGGTAAACCATTCCCAGAGCCTGTGCAAGACACCCCGAATTGCCTCAGGACCCCCGGGATATCCACAGTATTCCAGAGCTTAAGGTCGTCAGCAAACACTAGTGATGGCACTCCTAGCTCTTCCGGCAAATCATTTACATAAATCGTAAACAACAATGGCCCCAATGCCGAGCTCCGCGGGACGCCACTAAAGACAGCTTGCCTAAGAGAAAGGCTACGCCTACCGTATGCACTGTTCCCTCCCCTCCAGGAAAGCAGACACTCATATAAGGGTGCGACCAGATATCCAAGTCTCAAAGAATCTATATCAGTGCGGAAATCTACCATATTGGAGAATAAGTGGTCCACGAGAGAAAAGTGAATGGTGGTCACGGACGAGTTCCAATGCAACTTAAACAACTTGGGTGATCTGGGATGAACGCGAAGTAAACGGTGCTGTCAACTGGGGGAGTTCATGTTAACTAGCTGCTCCGGGTCTTGCGAATGGGTTTTTGAAGCATGAATCCTTAGGTAAAAATAACCGTAGAAAGGAATTGTGACGACGAACAGCTACACCTCGTGCAGCATCAAAAGAAAAAACGGAACTAAAATTTAAGACCGAACAGAGCAATAGCAAACTTTTTATCAGCTTATCGCGTAGTCGAGGAATATGTCCTTAAGTTCTGTTCCTATCCCTGTCACTGGAGCAGAAGCCGCGCAATAGCACGGCTATGCCCGACATGCTAAGGGAGGGGCATCAACAGCACGCCGTACCGTCACTTCGGTGTCACCCGACCACCTCCAGTCGTCTGTGGGCTAAGGATACTGCGAGCGCCGCCCGGTCCCCTACGCAGGCTCGAATCGGTGACCTCATTACAAGGTGTGATCCTTTCAGCCACCGGCCGGATACGAAAATGACCAGATAAGCAGAAGATTCGGGTTCGCAGGCTGAACTCCGTAGTTAACAGGAAACTAAAACGTGGATTTCATTTGAAAGGAAGCCCTAAAGATCCAGACTTACCACGTTTGATCCGATGCCATGTTGGTAATCAGGGGTTATCTGTGTGGGCTAACCATTTGAAGACCGATGTAAGCGGAACCTACTAAAGCTTAGTGTGCATATGTTTAAAATAAGCAAAATAACCGAATACGACACCACTGTATTGAACAGGTAGTTAAGAAAACATACATCTGACGGTACAAATGGATACATAATTTCACTGCCCGTTTCTGTCACTAGGGTTTGGGGCAGCAGACTTGGCTGTTTTCTTTTTCTTGCCCTGATTTTTGATGGGCTGGAGTAAAATTTCCTGCGAAGGTTTGTAGCTTCACCAAGAAGGCTCACTTTAACCTCGGGGTCACGGGGTTTGAACTCGGACTTGTATAAAGAGGAATCAAAGGGTAGGCCTGTGATGCGCATGGGGCCATTAGGCATCAGCAATACGGTGAAACGGAATTGCGCCACCAGTTCATCTGAAAACTTTCATCACAAAAAAGACACTAACCATCTTTTTCACACAGCACCGGAAGAGCCTGAAGGACGTCATGTTTTGCGCACTCGGTTATCCCCAAACGGGCCTTTTTGAGATCATCGAGAGCTCTGCAGCGGTCAAGAGAAGCTCAAGACCTACCTGATATTAAACGGATAATCCAGAAACTTGCTAGCAATCTCACTATGCAGCTCTAGAACATTGGATATTATAACAAAGCATACGTCTCGAAGCCTTCATCTTCAACTGATATAAAGTCTCGTTTTTCTTGTATATAGTTGTGCGAGCTTTATGTTCCCGTGGCTTCCCACTGCCAGTAGACACTGATATGTCAACGTCCCAGACTTCGTTGGTCTCGAAAGTTATCTTTTCAATTGCTTTCTTTTGATCTTCGGAGGGGTGTAAGACAATTGTCTTCTCAGCATCGTAAACCAACCGACGCATTTGGTGAGACTGCACTCCTATGGTTGAATGAGTAAGAACACGTCATAAGTACCTTCGACAGCATGACAATTAAAATCAAGAACCGCTTTGGTGATTAGCTCCGAGAGTTTCGTGTTCTAAAACAGGACGATAACAGTGGCCTGAAGTACCTCATTGTTGGGACGTATCAATCGTACGGCAACCTCGGAGGCAGTGTAGGCTGCTTGTATAGCATCCGCTTTCCTCCCGGTGACTTTCCGGTCCTAAGAAGACTCGAGGTCAAGAAAGATATTACCTGTGAGGAACCGATGACAAAGGTGTGGCCGGCAACAGCAGCAAAGCCATCAATGTGAGCGCCTAAGTCGCTGGCAGAGGCAAAAATTAACGAAACGAAAGACCTTGCATTTTAACCAGGTCTTCATCCTTGAGCTCTATGATTTCGTTATCTTCACCGGCGATGGGAGAATAGTGGCAAATGATGTTGTTCACGCTAATGGACGTAGGAAATGCCAAGCCTTAACCGTAACGTTGAACGTATTTAGAAACCTTTTTTCATGGTTTTCTCACGTTTGAAGAGTTTCGCCGCCTCCTGTTGGATTCTTTCGTCGCCAAATTGACATAGTTCAACGATCTTGGCCCCAGGTACACATAATTTCATCAATTCCGCGAGAACACCTGAAAATGGAATCAAAGTAAGCTGAACCAAACCATTTGTAATATCAGCTGCCATTTTGTATTTGTTAACCACAACATCGTCCAGAATAGTCGTCTCTTCTTCTGATTCATGATCGGACATGCTGCTGCGGCAGTGCGACGAGAAACGCGAGAGCGGCGGAGTACTATAGATTGGGACTGGTCTTGGTGGTTAGGTGAGGCTGCGAATAAGGTGCGTCAGATTCAGATTCAAATGGACTGGAACGATAGGAAAATCCCTTGAGTGCTCCTTCTTGAGAAAACCGTTGAGCCAGGAAATGATAAGGTGTTAGTTCTTGATAGATCTAAAACGAACCACCTGAAACACACCCTGATCAACCAATTACTGCCCACGTTCCCTGCACTAGCAGTCCGCGCTGTGTATGTTGGAACATTGGAACATTGGAATGTAGAGAGCAGAAGGAAAAATCCTTTGTCAGCTCCATCGCCTCCCGTTCGTCACAGGGATCAAGGTGGACATTGCAAGTCGGTTCCAATGGAACCGCTGCATTGACACAAGAAGCAACAAGATCCGAGTTTACTCAACAGGTAAGAATCCAATTGATGTTTGAAACATTCCTCCGACTGCGCATCAACGACACACACAGGTAGATTATTCCATTCGTTCACTACTCTGGTAGACAGAGTGACATCACAACGGACCCGAAGTCTCCTTTGTTTAAACAATTTCCAATGGTGACCCCGAGTCGAACTGAAAGAATTGAGTGGAAAGAAATTCTGCAATTCAACTCCAAGTTCCCCTCTAACGATACGCCGGGTGAAAATCAAATCCCCGCGATCTCGACGGTAGGCTAGGGAGAACAAGTTCAGGCACTGGAGACGATGCGAGTAAGGCAGGTTTCGTAATTCCAGAACGGATTTAGATCCTCTCCGCTGAACTTTTTCAATCAAGTTGCACTCAAATTTGGAAAGAGGATAAACAGCGGGCAGTCCATACTCAAGAACCGGACGTACATGAGAAGTGAACAGGAGCCTGAAGATCTCCGGAGTCACGTGGTAAGAAAGAAGTAGAAAGTAAATGGAAGATAAAGGGGAATGAAAGTAAGTTAAATGAAGGATAACACCAAAGAGTGAAGTGAATGACAGAATAAGAACTGAAAGTTTGAAGATGGATATGGTCAGTAGAAGGGAAAGGTTTCGTGTTGCCACCCAAGAGCGTCTAACTGACGCTCGAAACCCTTAACCGTAGGTTCACTGGTTAAACCCAAGTTGGGATGAGAACAGTAGGATAACACCATGGAGTTCATTCTTGCGTGTGTCGTTCACCTATGACGGAGTTCGTGGATCAATTCGAATCGACGAGTGTCAGATTACAGTCAACCAAGCAATGACTATTTGGCCTGCATTAGCAGTCCTTGCTGGGCCGGCCAAGTGAATTAGAATAAAGTACAGAAGGGAAACAACGACAGAATAATGGTGGTTGTAGCATGAACAATATAAGTAATAAGAACTAAAAGCATAAGCGGAGACTAAATTTATGCGCTAAAAGGGATAGTTTGGTACTGCAATCCAAGGGCATCGAGTCGATGTTCAAATTCCTTCACCGTTGGTACTATTACCACATCCTCGGGTAGTGCTTTCCATGAATCTACGACTCTACGTGATAAGCCAAAAGCAGCCTAAACGCAACCGGATCTGGGCTTGTGAAGCTGCAGTGAATGACTCTGGATAGTTGGCATCCGGGTCCATAGTTATTAGTTCATGGAGTTCATTGAGTTCTAGACTGCAGAAGAGAACACCCCGTGTCCGCATTATCACCTCCCCTTCCTTGGATGAACGACACATGTCTTTGCTAAACCGTGGTCCACAATGAATGGTTACAGCTGCAGCAAATGCAGCGGAACCCAGGCATGCTCAGCATGTATTTGTCCACTACTTCTTTAAAATATTCCTCTGCCTGGGCACGTACCACACATTCAGGGAGGTTGTTCCACTCATTCACAACCCGTGTGGATAAGGCGACGTCGGATCGGACATGATTCCTCCAAGGTTTAAAATTTTCAATCTGCGGCCCCGCGTCGAACAACCTGGGTTGAGCTGTAAGGACTGCTGCACTTCCTTCTCTATGTCGCCCATTAAAATGCGTCTAGAGTAACTCAGATAGCCTCGGCGACGACGGTAAACCAGAGTAAAGAAATTCTTATGCTGGAGACGAAGGGGATAATGTAAAACACGTAGCATAGACACAGACTTGGCTCCACGCCTCTGAACCTTCGCAAACCACTCACATTCCAAGTTCGTACTTGAGTTTATTGCAAGTAGCCCGTATTCCAGTGTTGGACGCACGCGGGAGGAAAACAAGTGTCTGAAGTTCTGCGGTGTTAATTTGTAAAAAGACCTACGTATGGCACAAAGCATCCTGTTGGCATCGGCTACCTTCCGCAACGTGTCCTGGGTTGTTCTTCTGTCTGGGGATACAAGCACACCAAAATCCTTCTCACCAACCACATTCTTCAGCAGAAAACCAACAATGTTGTAGGCATGGTGAGGTGTTAGACCACCGATTGGGAGAACACAGCACTTATCACGATTGATAGGCATTTGCCACTTGACAGCCCAATCCCGCAGCAGATGGAGCTTCAATTGCTACTTGTCAGTATTTTCAATCCTGGATACTTCGTGCCACAATTTAAGATCATTCATAACAAGCAAGCAGTCGAGTTGGAGCACTTCTGGGAGGTTGTTGCTAAAGCGCTTGAATAGTTCCGGGCCAAGAACGGGGCCTTGCTGAGCCCCGCTGGTCCTAGGAACAGCATTGGAGTCGACTTCGTTAACCTGAACACTCATACTAGGGTCATCTAGGAAACCAGCGATCCAGGCGTGAAAATTACCAGCGACGCCAATTTGCCGAGGTTTGATAAGGTCAAACGCTTTGTCACAATCCACTGAAATTACATCGAGGATAGAAGCATCATCCACTGACTTCGCCCACTATCCTCCGGCAACAAGTATATTGGCAATGCTAAAGCGTGCCCAGTGAACTCCTTGTTGAGCAGGAGAGATGACGTCAAATTTCTCAGTGATGCCGGATCTGTTGCACCTCGTTTCCATGGTTTTAGTGGATTAATGACAAGCAAATCGGTCGGTAATTCACTTGACCTTGGCTATTCCCACCTTTGAACATTGGTTCCACATCATTTGCTTTCTATTTAGTTAGCAGACGACCTACTTCACCTGTTTGGGATGTAACAGTCTGGATAAATTAGGCGCAATCCGGCCCGTCAGTACACGATACGTAAGGATTACATCCCTTTGAAGGTGCCTGTAGTAACCCGAAAACATCTGCAATCTCAGTAACCTCTCGCGATGCGTGTGATATGTTAAACCGTGCACCATTTTGTGCCTGTCGTTAAAAGTTGTTCAAATGCCATCTAGTCGCGGATCAAAGATAGCCGACAGGCCCGTAAGCCGTATTCCGTATATGCTCTGACAAAGGCATAGACAAATGTAATGAATATCTCCTTTGTTGTGATCCCAAACGATCTGTGGACTATCCACGGCGGTGGGAAACCCTTACGTGTAGCTGCAGTCCAGTTCTCACTGGAGTTAAAGCCAGAGGACAAGGGAACACCTCAGGCGACTTGGTGATTCATCTGCGGCACTAGCTTTCGCCATGTACTTAACGATTAGGTGTACTTGTCCCTCTGCGTAGGACTACGCAGTTGGCGATTTGTATCGGTGTCTCTCATAAATCTGACCACTCCGAAAACTTGTCAATATCTGGATGCAACCCCAAGGGACCTGCATGAGCGCTCACTAAACTCCAAAATTTTAGCTCATCCGCAAGCAAAAGGGTGGGTACCTTCAGTTTCACAGATTGATTATGTACATACACTGCAAACAGTAGAGGAGCTAAATCCGTCTCCTATGGGTCACCACTCATTATAGCTTGTCGGAAAGAGCTCGGAGCCCATTTGAACGGACGTTCTGTCCCCTAGAAACGCTAAACTTCAGTTCAATACTTGGTCCGAGAAGCCATAGGATCTTGGTTTTAACAGAAGGAAACCGTACGGGACGGTGTCATAGGCCTTGGAAAATACATTGGACATAAGGTCCAAAGCCTGTGCGAAACCTGCAACTTCAGCTTAGCATTCTCTGGCCACCAACATGTTAGTTAAGCAAAAATAACCTTTGTGGTACCGAGGTTGAGACGAGATGAACAAAGTGAACGTAACTATGTGCTTTTCGATAGCACTTCGGAAGTCACGGGCAGTGAACTAGTTCTACCAGCCTACGCACTACTGAGATCAGACCGTCCCTGCAGCCGTCGCGGAGGTGGGGTTGCGACGTACCTAAACTCCTGGTTAAACTGTTGGCCAGGCTGAGTTTGGCGGGCCACGAAATATTCGAGAATAAACATTTGTTTGTTTATTTATTTAAACACACATGAGTTGCACTCAAATGATAGGTCGGTGGAAGCCCTTTCGGTTGAAATGTGCACTTTATCTTCGCAGTTTAAGCTTGTGGTAGTGTACAGTGCTTTTATTGATTTCTTTCGCGATCACTCCCCCAACCGGCGCTTAGTGCTGGGTGACTATAATTGTTTGGGGATGGACTGGTACAACCTCACTTGCGAAAGTGTGACCGTAGACTTAGCCGCCAAACTTTTGGAGCTGACGTTGCAAACCCCCGATATCAGTTTGTAAGTCAGCCCACAAGGTCCATGGAGAGGCAACCACCATCAATATTTTATCGTATTTTTGTCAACTCAATCAATATTGTTACGGTCAGCCGCTTCTAGCCAGTGACCACTCCGGCGCCTCATTCGAATTTGCTCTTAGTAAAGCCCGAGAGAAGCCCGCGGCCGGTTGTCCGAACATTTGACGTACTGATTTTGCTACGATGCTAGCCAGTGATATCCAAGGCTACCCAGTCACCCTGCACCATTTTGGCAGCTGACGCAGTCCACTGTTTGTGATAATTTCAAATCCTTGCTTGCTGTGGTCTCCCTTACCCTCCTGCTGCTTTCAGTTAGGAAAAGCTGGAAAGCCAGAAAACCCAGGTTTGTGTTAACTGCGCGTCAATTGTTGAAAAGATGGTCCAAGTTTTGGCGGACTTTTATTGCTACCCAACTAGACGGTGGCATACGTTGTTTCCGAATAGAACGGAGGGCAGGTAAACAGCATCTAAGGGCCACTCGACTTCGTTATGAAATGGAACTAGTAAACGCGGCTTCGATTAACCCGAGGCGAGTTTGGCCCATGTCAGAAGACGAGGGCATGCTAATTCCTCTAGC